TATATAACCCTAGCTGGCCTGTAACTTAATTTATAAAACAAGCTGGTCTTGAACTCACAGTGACCCACCTGCCTCTGTCTCCTGAGTGCTGGGATTAAAGGTGTACTGAACCTCCTCTTCCTCCTTTTTTTCTCTTCCTCTTCTCCTTCCTATTTCTCCTTTTCCTCTTCCTCCCCTTCCTCCTCCTCCCCTTCCTCCTCCTCCCCCTCCTCCTCCTCTCTGCAGAAGCAATGATGCTGAGCTTTCTTCATGCAGTAGACTTTATCCTCTTAAAATGTGAATGTAAATAAAACCTTCCTGACTGAAGTTGCTCCTCGTAGGTACTGGGTCACGGCAATGGGAAACACATTCTTCCAAATTAAACACTGCTTTGATTCCATTTGGACCAAGTAGTTGCTTCCCTGTCACTCTGCGGCTTTGATATAAGCCCCAATTGCTCCTGTGAGAGTTGTTCGCTTCTCTTGCCACACACCCTCCAAATAAGCTTAGCTGCTGCAGGCAATGAACAGATGGACAAAACCTACCACAGGGTACAGCTCCCAGGGGTGGGGAGGCAGTGCCTTGTGCGGACTGTGTCTGACATGATCAGTGAAGAGGTATATTTGTATATTTGAGACACATTCTCACTTTGTAGCCAGGCTGGCTTTAGTCTTATAATCCTCCTAAGTGCTGGGGTAGCAGATGTGTACCACCCCACCTGGCCACTCTGCAGCATTTTGGCAGAGACTACTCTAGCATTATGGTACCTCCAGATGAGGAAGTACACAGTACATCATTCTTGGGACACAGAAGCCCAAAGCACAGACGTAAAAGCTTTATTTGTTTGAGAATTTGCTTAAAATGAACACGGCCTTTTAGAAAACAGTCAAGGAAACAGTCAGGCTCATCTTGCTTCACCTGTTTTCTCCACTTACGTTTGTGACCCTCATGATTATAAAATGAACACGACAACCCTGATTGCATTTGCCTGCATTTGCACCAAGTGTCACGCTGGCACGCTAGACAAGGGTCTAGCAGAAAATCAAGAGTCAAGGCTAATGCCTACAGGAACTGTTAGATTAGAAGACTCAATGTTTGTGGAGAGCTTAATTTTGCAAACTAGTTCAATGACTGTTTTGAAATGATGTAGTCAAGGCTTCGGTGAGGTAATTTTGGATGGATGAGACAAGGAACATAGCAAGTTAGTGTAGCGAAAGCCTCCTGCTTCTGGGTTCCATTCTAAACATCCCCAGAAGACGCCTCTTCCCAAGAAGTGTGGGTGAATCGAGTTCATATTCCCAGCTCTGCCTGAGATGCTGTTGGTGTCAGTAACTGGGGTGACCTGATTAGGACAGACATCCCAGCCATTCAAACGGTCTTCCACAGAGATGCAGTTTGAATCACAGCTGAGTGCCAGAGAGAGTGTGAACAAGGCGAGGGCTTCCCCTCTTGTTCAAAACCTCGTCTTTTGCCTCTACTTGAATATGAAGGCTCAGGAATGAAGCCATGCTCTGCTGAGAGTTGCATACAGCCATGAGAACGGAAGGGAGCTAGCAGGCAGAGGTTCTAGGTGTTGAGACCGTAAAAGGCCTACAGGAGCCGAGGTTTCCAATTTTAGAAAGAATGCCACAGTCAATCTTGGGAAAGAAACATCTTCTTTTTAATGAGATATATATATAACATGTATGGGTGTTTTATCTGCATGTGTGGTTTTGTGTGCCTGATCCCCAAGGAAGACAGTAGAGAGTATTGAATCCCCTAGGACTGGATTTAGAGATGTTGGTTAGCCATCAGATGGGTGCTGGGAATTGAACTAGGGTCCTCTGGAAGAGCAGCCAGTGCTCTTAACTGCTGAGCCACCACTCCAGCCCCAGGAAACATATCTTATCATACTGAGAGGTTGATGACAAATTAAAAACAATAAGAAGTCTCCCAGTCAAGAAGCATACCAAGTTTCATTCATCCAACACGTGTATTTATTGCAGGATATCCTGCAGTGCCACCGGCTGTGACACTAGGTGGGAAGAGCTGACAGGTCTGTGGTCTTAAAGACAGGATAGAGAAATAGCATCTTCCAAGCAACACATACACTTGTCAAACAGCCCATTGAGACACTCATTCCCTTGGCTCAGCCGTTTTTTAAGGAAGATGATGACAACCAATCAGCCGACCCCGCTGGTTGCCTAGCTCCCGAGCTCCACCCCTTCCTCCATGAGCACCTTCTCTGGATTCCGAGCCCGAGACTTTCTTGGAACTTGGCTCCACAGCCTCTGTCTTTAGTAGCTTTTTGTGCTGGGACTCAAACTGTATCAGCATCCTTGTGCTCTCCTGCTGCCTCTCTCGTTTTGTCTCAGGAGAGAGCCTGACCTTGGATGCCACAGGTCTACCCAGTGCTTCTGAGGTCCAGGGGCTCTCTTTCAAGGCTCTCCCATGAAACACCTCATCAAACATGGTCTCCACAGATTATCAATAACTGAGGTTTTTATCTCTGTTTTCCAAAATCAGGGAACTGATTACTTAAGGGGTGCAGGCTAGTATCCCCTATCCAGAACATTTGTGATCACCATGTTATAGGTTTTAGATTTTTTTTCCTTCAGATTTTGAAATGTCTGTATACACACAATGACATGTCATGAGGGTGAAATCCAAGTCTATGTATGTTCATTTGTACTTCATGAACACCTTGTATAAAATCACATCCAGGGACAATTATCTGAAGGTAATTTAATCTAATATTTTAGATAATTTTGTTCATGAAATGTGTTTCTTGGTGTATAAATTTCCACCTGTGGTGTCATCTTGGTGCTTAAAGGGTATGGATTCTGGAGTGTTTCTAGTTCTCTTGGTTCATTCAGATTAGGGTGTTCAATTTTCAGTCACTTTCCTGAGGCTACAGAGTTTAATGGCAGCGTCTAGAGTGGATGGAACCTCTTCTAATTTAGAGGGCTTGCTGCTGTGAACTAATGAGCCTTCTTCAGTTTAACACCCACATCAAGATCCAGCAGCAGGACAGCGGTGACATATGGGAGAGACTTGGATTAGGTTTGGAGTCTGGGTGAATCTGTAGCATCTGCTGCCCGGATGGGCATCCCCATCCCTGCCTGTTTGTGAGCATTGCCTTGCTAAATTTTTAAGTACAGGATCTGCATTGGAATATCTACAGTCAGACATTAGCAGTGGCATTGTACTTAAAGCTCTCTCAGTATTCTTATGTGAGATCAATGGTGTGTGTGGAACACATTTGCTAAGTTTTGATCTGCATGCATTCCTCTGACACTGGTGGAAGATGGTGTGCAGAGTCAGAGGGGAGAGGAGCTTTAAGGATCATGGGTCTGACTCTTTACTGTGTGCTCTTGGGCTGAAGTCAACTCCCATGGGCTTCAGTCCTCTCATCTAGCATTGAGAGTCTGATGCTGGTTACCAAGTGGTGGCAAGACATGACTAACTTTGATGCTCATGGGATATTACTTAGGCTCAGTGGAAGTGCATAATTTCCAAGTAACCCTCAATGATTTTCTTTTTTCCTTTCTTCCTTTCTTCCTTTCTCTCTCTTTCTCTCTCTCTTCCTTCCTTCCTTCCTTCCTTTCTTTCTTTCTTTCTTTCTTTCTTTCTTTCTTTCTTTCTTTCTTGATTTATTTATTTTATGTATGTGAGTACACTATCTTCAGGCACACCAGAAGAGGGCATCAGATCCCATTCCAGATGGCTGTGAGCCACCATGTGGTTGCTGGGAATTGAACTCAGGACCTCTGGAAGAACAGTCGGTGCTCTTAACCACTGAGCCATCTCTCCAGCCTCAATGATTTTCTATAGAGCTGGAGTGGACTGCAGTGACTCATGGCACATGTTACACTCACCCATCACCATGGAGACTCTACTCATTCCCTGTACACCCACATGACACCTTAAAAAAACAAAACAGAAGTCATAGAATCTAAATAAAAAGTTATATTTGTTGATTTGTACATGGGAGGAGAGGCACACAGCACAGTGTGTATGCAGGAATCAGAGTTACTCCCAGGACTTGCTCTTCTCCCTGTACCACACAGGTCCTGGGGACTGAATCAAGAAGTTAGGCTTGGTGGTAAGCACCTTTGCCTGTTAGACTATCTTTCCAGCCCCTATGTAATATTCTGAAGTTTGCCACACACCCATGAAGTCAAAACTCTCTGGTTAGCCAATCATTCCCTAGGAGCAAGTGTACCCACACTTAGAAAGTGGGTGTCTACAATAAAAGAAACATCTGAACAAAGTATATTTTTACTTTATGAGATTTGGAAGTAAAAACTTCCTTCGTTTTCTGTAACTTACTATTGGAGGAGAAGGGGAAAATTAATATAATGTAAAGGTATAAGTCTGAAAAGGTCAGAGAGGAAACATAAACTAAGTTTTGAAATTCTCACAGTAGCTCATGCATTGTCTCCCATGACACCTCCTCCACCATGCCTCTGTGGCCAGCCTGTAGGTCAGTCGCTCAACACTGTCTCTTCTATAAGCCGAAAGCTCCCCTAGGCTTCCTAAGAAGACAAAGGCAACATGCTCCCTATGCTTTACGGCCCACTTAGGTGGCCAGATACTGAAGTCTGAAAGCTTTAATCTTTAGTTGGCCATCCATACTAAGGGATCTGCACGGACCCTGCTGAGAAAAGGGTATTTGCTCAGAGTTGATTCTGGTTGCAGGGGTATGGACAGGTCATGTGTCTCCTTGGAACCAGCGATCCATGTCTACAACAGTTTGCAATGAAGCTACACGGTCCACTCTGTTGTTTTGGTGCTGGGATTGTGACTTCATACTTCATAATTTACTCTCCTAAAGGCAAGATGTACCCTCGATGTTTAAGGCTGATAGTACAGGACCTGCACCCTTCTGTCGTGTGCCGAGCAGCTGTGGGCTTTTGAAGTGTCAGATACTTGTGGTCTCTTTGTAGTTCATATCTTTACAGACTTGGGGAGGTGAGGAAGTGCAGGTGGCTCTCCAGGTTTCCTTGGCATGAATTAAGAATCACCAGGGAAGTTTTAGAAAGAGGTGAATTTCACACCCTAGCCTATAGATTCTGGTCCAAAAATCCTGAATTCAACTCAGGAATCAGCATCTCCCAACCATGCCACAGGTTCTGACTCCAGCTCAGAGACTGGTAGATGATAGGTAGATGCTGTACCTCTCCTCTAAGGCTCCTGGGAAGATTCTAACCAAGGACTCTCGGGATCACCCCGGTCTGGTGCTTCTCACTGACCCAGCAGAGATGCAGCAATTCGAGGACCTCTGCATCTTTCTTTCCTCCAGACTTAACCCAGACTGCTGCAAGGGCCACTGAGAGCACATCCCGTGATTCTGGGGACTTCATACTGTTAGCGTCTCCAGACCTCATTTCCTATTAGGCTAGCCTGGCACTTCACCAAGATAGCTTCAGGGAATATCCCATTTCATAGTGTCATACGGCTAACCTCACATTGCCAATGGGTTTTACAGCTTCATTTTTAAAAAGCTAGGAATGAGTAAGAAAAGAAGCATAGACCCCAACCATCCTGTGCATGGGCAGATAAAAGCATCCTACTTGTCTTTTGAGACCTTCTAAATCCTGGAGTGAATCAGCTTCCAAACTAAAAGATGCCTGATGTGTGCAGACCATGGTGGAAAGGAAAGCGGTTACTATGGAGAAGACAAGGGCTGTAATCAACAGCAGAGCCCCGCCTTGACCTGAATCACTTCTACAAAAAGTGCTCCTCTGCTCTGCCTCAGGCAAACCCGCTCTCCCTTAATCTTGCTTCCACGCACTTCACACATATTTACTGAGCTCCCACTTTGTGCATAAAATAGCACACATCTCAAAAATCAAAAGATTAATTTTGTCTAACCAAGAAGTGAGAGCCCACTTATTTCTGACAACTAGTAGTTCTTTTCTTTTCCTTTTTTGAATGAAGTTATTGGAAATCGTAGGCAAAGATCTCCTGAGAAGACTTTTAGAATAACAGAAACTTCTGAGCAAGGAAACAAAACAATCCTTCAAATAGCAGCACCTCACACTAGAGAGCCTTTACCCTTCAACAATTCCCAGCAGGCATAAAACAAAACAAAACAAACAAACAAACAAACAAACAAACAAACCAAGAGTGGCTTGAAAGCCTCTTCCAAGCTCTCTGTGACTTTGGGGGAGCTCCTGTGAAGAGATGGGTCACAATAACTATTGCTGCAAGCATATACCTTAATGGAAACATGCAAAGAAAGCTGGCATAGGCTTTAAATAACGGTTATATTAAACCATGAAGAAGGCTTTACTGATGCCTATAGAACTGAAGTGATGACAGCAGCTCTACCAAGACCTGTGCCCCCAGGCTGTACTCCCAGGCTGTGCTCCCAGGCTGTGCTCCCAGGCTGGTAATAATTGAAGAAGTTCTCAGCACACAGAGGCACAGCAGAGATAAGGGGTTTTGTTTGAATGATGTAGTGATTGACAGCTCTCTGTGAACAAGTTCCAGTAGACCCCTAACAACCAACAGTGCTCCAGCTTACCTATACACCTTCACCAAATTATCCCCTATGCATGGAATACCCATCCCCAGAACCTCTCCTGACTACCAAGGATTCCAGGGACCATTTCAGCAAAGAAAGACATTGTACCCGTTTCCAAGGTCAACATCAAGCTCATTCATTTCTTTGTTCCTTCATTTAGCTCTTCATCTGTGTTGTGCACCTCCCCACAGCTGGATGGAGGTGTCATGCTTACCACAGGGACCTTCAGCTTTTAACTGAAGAGGACTTCGTTGACACTGCACAACTGTTTGATTAGTTATATAACTAAGGTTTGTATTATACAGAGCTGAGGCATAGGAGGGGCCCAACGGGAGTGCTGGAAGGAAGGATGGGGAGGATTTAGTTGGGGCAAAGGCTCAGGTCCATTGCCTTTCAGTTTGTTCGCTTTATAAAATAGCCCATATTTATAATACAGCCAACAGGGTCATAGTGATGTCTGTAATAACAAAGGAAAGAACTGCTCCACGGAAAGTAAGACGTGCACCCCGGCCCCATGCCAGCCATGAGCCAATACCCTGGGCCAATCATCCTGGATGTCCATAGACTCTCACTTAAAAACACAAGTGCTTATGTCTCCCAGTAAATAAAGATGTGTGAGAAAGAAGCCATGTAGAAGAAGGTGGGTATTTGGAAAGGTTGCCACAGTAGAAATACAAAGGCTTTCTGGGAATTTATGGAAAATATCAAACAGCTGTTGTTGGATCAGGCCAATAAAAATTATGACATAAAACAGATTTCAGAGTGAGCTGCCAAAGAGGTGAGTGCTCCTCATTCCCCCAGAATCCTGTGGAATTCAAGTCTAAGTTTACAAGGAGAAGGGCGTTAAAGGTGGCTTTTAGAAAGGCTCTGCAGAATGCTGGGTCCCACCTCCTTCTACCCCACTCCACACTGCCCAGAAGGGTGCACGGAAGTACTTCACTTCTAGAAACAAAGCATTCCTCATGTTGGGACAGTCATGAGCTTCTCGTGACTCATCTGTTTCTCGCACACGTATCTTCCATGAGCAGCTCTCGGCTCTGGCTTCCATGATGAGCTAGCTTCCTACAAACTACCCAGGAAGTCCATGGCTTCCTCCGTCAGTCAACATAGCTCTTTATTAATTTGACTGGGCAAGTCAAACATTCGCAGGCCTTGAAGAAGCCTGGGGGCTAGAGTGATTGCTCAGCTGTTGAGACCACTTCCAGAGGACCCAGGATTCATTCCCAGCATCCACAAGGTGACTCACAGCCATCTGAAACTTCAGTGAGTTCCAGTGGATCTGACACCTTCTTCTGGCCTTCGTGGACATCAGGCACACACATGGTGCACAGACGTACATTTTAAGCAAAACCACGCATATACATAAAACAATTAATAAATTAACAAAACAATCAGATTCAGTGGGAAGGCTGAATAATTGCAGTTAATGACACAAAAATGAACCTGTGACCCAAAGGACAAAATCAGGGAAAATCTTTGAATCTGTGTAAAAAGGGGTGGAGAAAACAGACAAATAGGAATGCAGTGGAGAGAGTCTAAGGTGTATGAGAGGGATGGAGAGAAGGCCACACAAGAACGCTTACCAAAGAACCCTGACTCAACCAGGACTCTAAAAGCCTGAGAAGAAATAAAGACAAACAAATGACATAGCTGGACTCTTTCCATTTATGACCAGCAATTTAATGAGGAAAATTCTAGAAGCCCACCTCTAAAGGCAGCAGAATGAAAATGGCAGCCAGGCTCCCCTCTGCCTTTTTAGCTGCAAGAAGACAGTGGAATGAAGGCCACAGATCCATGATGGAAACTTATTCTCAATACATTTTCAACTATAGGGGGAACTGAAGATGGCAGTCCTTTTGCCACTAAAAAATCCTTATAAATATACCAGAGCAAGATTGAAAACGATTCTAAGAGAGGAGTAGACCTGGAGACAATGGAAACAATTCGTTTGCTGTGGGAAAAAGCATCCCAGGGGGTTGGATGAATTAGAAAGTAATCCAGGAGGCCTGGTAAAAAAGAATATTTTTTTTAACAAGACACAAAATTTGAGCCAGGGATTAAAATCCTCAGTTTTATTCACCTTTTCTTCTATTAAAGTAAAATTAAGTGCAATTGTTTCTAACCTAAAAGTAGTAGTAGTGAATGTGAAGCCTCAGGATACCAGTAGAATTTCCTCTGTGTTTTCTAACTGAACGACCACAACCATTTATATTTTACCCCAAACATGTCTTTCCAAAATACCCTACTATAAGCTCATTTTGATTTTAGACTCCTTGCCTAAATGAACTGTCAGTTTATCACAACCCAATAATTAAGAGTCACAAAAGCATCCGGGACATGCTTGCCATAGACTTGATTCTCCAGGTCAGCTGGAGAACACAAAGCTCACGAGAGATGCTGGAAAACAAATGGAGAGCAATGGGAACTAGAGAGTGCGATAGGAATGTGCACTTATGCTATCTCGGAAGAATACACACACACAGGAATACACACACACAGGAATATACACACAGGAATACACACACACAGGAGTCTGAAGCAAACAGAGCTGAGTGGTCTGGGGGAAAGGAGAAGGGTCAGGGGGAGAGAAAAAGGGTCATCAGGGAGAGGCTCCCCTGGACACTCTGTGGGTCTAGCCCACTGTGTTGGGGAGGTGATAACTTCCATGCAAGGTGGTTTACCATTTTCTCTGCAAGTGACACCATGAACCTGGCTCCTATAAAGTCTTTCTTTCCTCTTTCCTCCCCCCCCCCCCGCCCCCAGAAGAGTTCTGCTGGTATAATTTTGCTTTCTTCCCCAGAGGTTACTCCTTTTGATTATCCACGTTTCTCTAGTCTCCATGTGAGAGGGAATTAAGCATTAGTGACTAAAAAATAAGCCTTTATCTACTAAGAAACAAGTCCTCCTTTAAAGTAAAACCCTGCCCTCTCAATGCTTGACTGAGTTTTAACTTTTAATTCGAAAGATAATTTAGTTGGAAACCAGAGATCCCTGTTTTACAGACTTTATCTGACCTCCAAATCCGCCATTTTGTTTTAGAGTTTGCTTTCTTCTACTAAAGTAAACTTATATACAATTTGTTTCACTTAAAATATTAGTAGTAGTTATCTTTAGGAAGCAGATTATTATAGTGGTATTTCTTCTCCTCCTCCTCCTTCTCCTCTTCCTCCTCCTTCTCCTCTTCCTCCTCTTCCTCCTTCTTTTTGTAATTTCCAAATGTCCTACCCTACCATAATTATAAACTGATTTTATCTTTGTCACTTAAAATGAATATTAATTGAAACCTGTCTCAGTTTCCTTTTGTTGTTACGTTAAAAATACTTTGACAAAATTAAGTTAGAAAAGGTTTATTCGGTTTAGATACTAAGTCATAGACCATCTCTGTGGG